AGAGGCTCGCTCGCTGCCGACGCAACGCGTGTATTACATCATTTTCGGTTTTGATATGAATCTTATCACACCACACCATGTTTACTTGTCTGGTTGTTTGGCTGCATTTTATTCTGAGGAATTAAAATGAAGTATTTCTTCTGACTATGAGAAGTTAGATATACAGGAGCTCTTGGAAAATAAATAAATAAAAATTTTCTCGAGTGAGAGCATGCGTTTACCTCTCTTCCTCCAAGGAGGTTGAGGTAGTCAACGGGCTGCTGGGCGGAAGGTCAGAGTGGCGCTCCCGGGCCGAAGGCTTCTAGCAGAAAGCGGATCTGCGGACCGTCATTCTCGCTGGATAGTCTAGGGCTGACGCCTAGGGCCCAGGACTTCTGAGGGCCGGCCCCCTCTGGGGACAAGTGGTGTACACCTCATTATACGGTGGCCGTCTCTCTCATTATACAGTGCCCGTCTCTCCTCAGTGCCCTCAGGAGATCGATCTTCCAACCCTGCCACCTATGGTGCTTCAGGGCGCAGCAGTCTCCAGCGAGCGCTTCTCTCAGTCACCGCCCGGAAAACGTAGCGGTACTAAGAGGCTCGCTACCTCTTCGAAGGTTTCTAGAGCAGCTAGTTCGGCCGTTCCTTGCCGGTCCGCCGCTTCAGGGCACCGGCCTAGCCACTCTAAGTGCACCAGAGGCCAGTCTCGAGAGACTGGTTCCCTTAGTAGGTCACCTGGCGGTGTGGGACCCCCTGCCAAGCATGTCTCATTGGGTCCTGCCCCGAGCAGGCTCTGGTTCTATCAGTCTAGTCTTCCTAGGAGATGATGCGGGTCTGAGGACCATCGTTTTCAATAGGAGACTTCAGTTAAGAGAGTCCTGATGCCATGGCTCAGGACTTCGGAGGGCATGCCCCTCTCGAGAGACTGATTCCCTTAGTAGACCTTTTTGGCAGCGTGGAAACTTCTGCCAAATGTGTCTCAATGGGTCCTGCACACTGTAGAAAGAGGCTACCGAATCAGTTCGGTTCTCCTCCGCCTCATTTCAACGAGGTCATTCCCACTCTGGTGGCCCCCGAGCAGGCTCTGGTAATGGAACAAGAAGTTAACACTCTCTTGAGGAAGGAGGCTTTCGAGGTTGTCCCTCCTCTCGACAGACAGTCTGGGTTCTACAGCCGGTACTTCATTGTTCCAAAGAAGGATGGATGTTCATGAGGTTTGTGTTTGGGGGCAAAAGCTTACCAGATTCTTCCGTTTGGCCTTGAACTCTCACCCCGCACTTTCACGAAGTGTGTGGATGCTGCTCTGGCTCCTCTGTGACTCCAGGGCATCCACATACTCAACCACATCGACGATTGGTTGACACTAGCTCAATCGGAGCAGATGGCGGTTCGGCATCGAGATGTCGTTCTCGCTCACATGAAAGAGCTGGGATTAAGATTTAACGCCAAGAAAAGTGTGCCTTTTACGCACACCGCCTACTTTGTCAGGTGCCTACCTGCATTCTGCGCCACTCCTGGCTCCTTTCTCTTGCCTTAGCTGTGCTCTTCCACACTAGGCAGGGATTTGTAAGTCTGGCCACATGGGCATACTCGTTCCCAAAGCGTTTTCCGATGCAGCTCGGGTTCCTGAAGGGGAACGTCTCCAGTTTACGAATGTAGCCATGGTTCCCCGAGGGAACGAGACGCTGCGTCTCAGTGCCATACTTCCGGCATCCCTCTGAGCGCTTGCTTCATTCCTAGAAGCTGACGCCGGTTCCACCGCACGTGCTTTTATAGCTTCCTGGGCGCAACGTCACCCGCCCATGACGTCTCGCCCATCTATGGGACTGGTTTCATATGTGATTCAGAGCATGGTCACGCTGGGGGAGTTCCCAAAGCGTTTCCGACGCAGCGTCTCGTTCCCTCGGGAACCATGTTTATTTACATGTGATTTAGAGTGTGGTCACACTGAAGGCGTTCCCAAAGCGTTTTCCGACGCAGCGTCTCGTTCCCTCGGGGAACCATGGTTACATTCGTAACCTGGAGACGTTTTCTGGTACGCAAAACAAGTACTTTAAAGGAATTCCTTAGCTTATTGCCATTATGTGGCAGCCAACAACAGTACAGCTTAAACGGGTCATCGGATGCAAAATTCACTTTTGTTGTTGTTTGAACATAAATGTGTGTTGGAAGAGTGTGTACACATCCACCCTATAAAGATAAAAATACACCCAGTGTTTTTTTTTTAATCCCTATTTTAAATCCCCTTTCTCAAATCAGGCTGTTCTGAGATTCCTGTCAGAATGACGTAGTTCTGCACAGGACCCTCCCACGGTATTGATTGACAAGGCCGTCTTACCTTAGACCCAGTGTTGCCAAGTCCGTGGTTTCCCTGTGGAATTGGGATTGTGTTTCATGTCCGTGGGTTGAAGCGACCCCAATAACATGATATTTAGCCCCTAAAATGCGAATTTTATCAGGGAAACCCGCCAAAACACGTGTATTTTATCCCCCGAAACGCATTTTTTATCGGGGGACCCCCCTCGAAACGCGATTGGGCTAGTTTTGAGTAGCAATTGGGCGGGTTTTGTTGTTAAAACCTGGCAACCCTGCTTAGACCCACCCTGAGTGAGCTGTGAGCTGTCCTCCATTGTGCCAACTCCGGTGCAGGGGAAGACAAGAATGAAGCGATTGAGATGTTTTGTTGTTGGATGTAATAATGAACATAGCCGTCATCATTTACTCCCAACATCTGAGCCACTGAAGACGCAGAGGATTAATGTTACTTTCGTTTTTGTAGGGGATGTGCTGATCCCCGATCTGCCTAAATGCTTTTAAGTTCGCGCGAATAATTCGTGATCCAGCTTCATCTACAGAAGAAGTGAGTATAAGGTTTTTTTTATGAATCTTTGCAAATCGCCTTTCCTAATAATGTGCTAGTTAGCCAGTTTTGCGGCTGAAGTTTACAGTCTGCTCGTCACCCCACAGAAGAGTGGGGCGGGGTGAGCAGAGCTCATTAGCATTTAAAGCAACATGGACTAGAACAGCGTGCTGAAAACAGAGCTGATTTTGACAGGGTAAAAAGGGTTTTTTGCACTACCATTGAGAAATTTTAACCAAAGAATGTTATAGATTTTTCATCAAGACCCTAAAGAATCATATCAACTTGTGGAAAATGGGCATCCGATGACCCCTTTAACCCTCCGCACATATTTATATTTAGTTATATTGAAAATGTTTCAATTCAGTCTATCTTTTTTACCCCATTTTAACATGGATTTCTATGGAGACCGGCCATAGATGTCGGGAAAGATGGCGGAAAGCAGCGGCGGAACATAATATCCGTGTTCTGATTGCTCAGATCGCCTGTCAATCAAGCTCTTTGCGAACGGTCAATTGCGTGTCCAGGAACGCAGTGGAATATTCTGGTCTACTTTCTCAGGTTTGGCTCCAGTATATTGCATAAATGCAAAAAAGACTAATAGGCCATATGCCTAACAATAAATATTCAATTAACGTGTCCATCAAAGCGTTTTTAGCCAGCTGAAAAATGCCAGGTGCTCTTCTGAAAACGGCCAGCTGGTGATGCTTGAGAATGCTTTGGTGGCACAGCATTTTTCGCTTTGAGACGCTTTGCTAAGACTAGGAATATCCACGGCAGTAACGTATTACTAGTATCTCATTTTGAAGAATATTACTGAATATAAAAATGCAGTAACCATAAATATGAACTTCTCTATTGTTGTTCAGTTGTCGGTGTAGTATTTGTCCCGCCCCTCCTCCATTGATTGGACGGCTGGGTAAAATGTGACAGTGAAGCGCTGCGTTTTACCCAAAGCTAAACAATTTATCAACAAAAACAAAACAACAACAAAAAACAAACAAACAACAAAACAGAGCAAACGAACTTGTAAAATATTATAATGGCAGTGCATCAAAATTCAGTGTCATCAGTTTGCCAAAAAGAACACAGAACGTTGTACGCACCATTTACACCTGGTAAGGAGCAGGTGTACATTTCTTTTGTACTAACTAACATTTTGAAAATACGAACACTTTCATGAATCTGAAAATTTACGTCAGAATAGCTTTACGAATGATTTACACAAAAATTGGTTCTGCTCGCGTTTCATGAATGAGGTCCAATGTCTTGGATTATCTGTGTCATTCTTTTTTCAGTGAGGTAATCAAATAAAGCTCAAATATAAGGGCTGGTGTTCAATTCACAGCCATGTGTGATCATCTGTACAAGTGGACCTGAGAGAAGAGCAGTTTTCACAGTGTAGCCTCGCATTTAATACAAACGTCAACTCTACTTCATTTAACAGAAGCCTTTTAACACTTCCTTTAATCCTCTTCCTATTACTTCCACACACACTTTTACACTCCAAGAGTGTTACTCACACAAAGTGCTAACATAAAGTCCTGATTCAGACATTGCCCTCTGACACTTCAATGCCTCAGAGAAAGCAAATTCCTTATGACGGCAGAGAAACAAACTGCCCTGTCACTCTATGTTAGGAGTCCAGTCAGATCGACTCAGATAACCGGACGCTGAGTCATTCCGCTGCCGAAGGGAGGTGAAAACTGTGTGTGTGTGCATATTTAGGACGGGGTGATGATTCCAACATTTCATGCTCTATCTCTCGACAACCAGCACAGAAAGGAAGGGGCTGTTTGACCACAGAGACTGAGGACATTTTAACCCTTCCATCGAGGCAGAAGGACAGCAGGCTGTTTTATATGAACTTGCATGCCCTCAGAAGCAAATTATCATCCTCACTTGTCCTCCAGTTTGATGCGACTGTCCCTTCCACAACATCTGCGTCTGTGTGTGTTGTACGTTTTACACAACTTCTAGAACAAAATGTCAGGGCCTCTTGCATCATGTGCGCTCACACACAGACATGTATTTGCCATCTGCAGGCTTTTCTTGTCACTCTTGCTGTTATTTTCACTATGCTCTGATACATACATACATTCATCATACATTCATTGCTTCAGGTAAGTGCAGTGAAGAAAGCAGAACAATTTTCACTTACTTCATCTGAAATCTGTCCTCCAAATGTCACCCATGTGCCTGTAAATGAAAAAGAAAAAGAATATTAAGTGTTGAATTGTGATATTTCTTGCAAAAGCACTTTGGTCTCATTTAATGACCGTTTGATTATTACTTAGAGAGCAAAAAGCAGAGGACCTAACTATGCAATTAAGCAGCCAATTCTTTTTCGACCTTTAAGATTTCCATGTGTGGTGCGGCTGAACATGTATAAATTACGGGTTGCCAAATGTGAAATAATAATGCTGCAAATAATGGCCAGTTGTGCCATATTTCACTCAAAGAAGCTTTAAAAAAGTAATTTTCCAATGACATTAATATAAATTATGGCTTGCCACATAACACTATGGCAATTCCACAGCTTATATACTGTATAGTAACAATCTCAAACTTAAAGGGATAGTTCACCCAAAAATGAAAATTCTATCATTAATTACTCACCCTCATGTTGTTCCAAACCTGTAAGACCTTCGTTCATCTTCGGAACACAAATTAAGATATTTTTGATGCATTCCAAGAGCTCTCTGACCAGTAGCGGTTTTTGGCACGGGCGAACCGTGCAGGGTGGCATTTTTTCATGATACAAGGGGGGCGGCACGAGCAGTTAAAAAAAATAATAAAAACTTCTGCGCCGCCGCCACGAAGCGATTTTCTATTATCTATCATTTCACTGTGTGGGGAATTGGCAAATTGGCGCCCCTGCTTGCTGAGAAGGTGCCGTGCACAGAAGCTGTGTGAATAGATACATTGCATTGAATGGGAATATTAATTTATGGCCATTTTATCCACATATTGCATAAAGTAAAATGATGTATCAATTCATTCCATTATATCTTTCATAACATAGTTGAGAATCATCTTTATATAAATTTTGGTTAAAAAAAAATCCTGAAACCCAAAAAGTTATTGGTGATTGAAAAAAAATCCCATTGTTTTTGCCTATACATATAATTTCATGTCATTTTATTTTTTAAACAACTGAATCCTAGTGTCCACTACAGAGGACATAGCATAACATATGAATAAAATATTATTTTTCAAAAATGTTTTTTTACCATTTGTTTCTTATGCTCTAAACAATGTGATGACATGAAAAAAATGTAAAAATTCAATTGCAATTTCAGGGGCACTTCTAAAATATTGAGCATCCTCTGCCACTGGTCAGGATGAGCCAACCACCTCCCCCGCTACACAGGCCTCTTCTGGAATGGTCTCGACCCTTCAGGATGAGCTACCATCTATGTCTTCAGCTACACATATGTCTCCACAAATATCTCCACAAATATCTGATATTGAGGATGAAGAGCTGAGGTCCACAAAGCGCCACTTATCATATGAATCACATGATGAGCCTTTCAGTGGTGCACTTAGGAAGTTGGAGGTTGGATTCTTCAACGTTGTCGTTGATGCAGCCACGTCAGCCATCAAGGAGAGATTTTCCACATTGGAAAATGTGGGAAAGAAATTCGGGGTTTTGACAAATTTCCCAAGTCTTGCAGATGAGGAGCTGGCAGAGCAATGCGAGGCACTAGGCACCACACTGCACTTTAAGGGGCACTCTGATTTGGACAGTAGAGAGCTTGTGCAGGAAATTAAGAACTTCCCTGACCTGCCATCAAAGACCATGAGCCTCCTTGAGCTTATCACTTTTATGCATGATAAGGATCTATCGGAGATCTACCCCAACTTTTGGACTGCTCTCAGGATTGCACTTACTCTGCCAGTCACTGTGGCTCAAGCATAGAGGAGCTTTTCAAAACTAAAGTTGATCAAGTCGTACCTGAGGTCAACCATGTCCCAGGAACGGCTCACTGGCCTTGCCGTCATCAGTATCAATCACTCAATAGGGGAGCAGATTTCATACGATGACATCATTGATGATTTTGCATCAAGGAAGGCCAGAAAGGTCAGGTTTTAGTTTTAGTTTGTGTTTTCTGTTCTTAGTGCAATAGTGTAATAATTAGATTCTCTTTAGTGTGTTTTCACATTTGTGTGATGAAGGAGTTGTGCTAGTTTTTTATATATCTGATTGTATATATTTTTGGCACATATAGTGTATATTTATTTAAGTTCTGATAACTTATACTGTCATATTTTGTGCAGAATTGTGTTCATTGTCTTTTGGCAATGTCTCGCCCAGGGTGTAATTCAATGTAGAACCGCCACTGTCTCTGACCCTCCCGTACACAGCAAGAATCCTTACATGATCAAGGCTCAGAAACGTAACAAGGACATCGTTAAAATAATCCATGTGATATCAGTGGTATGAGAATACTTTTTGTGCGCAAAGAAAACAAAAATAATTTATTCAACAATTCGTCTCCTCCGCATCACCCTATACCACCATTTTGGAGAATATCACATATACGTAAACAACATATGCAGCGTATGTACGCGGATATGTTGTTTACATTCAGATCAAAGCGTAAACAACGTATACCGCATATCCGTGCTGCAGACACAGAACAGCATACGTTGTTTACGTATGTGATACTCTCCAAACATTATTATTTTTTTCTTTTGCGCACAAAAAATATTCTCGGCCTTGATTGTGTAAGGATCCTTGCTGTCTATGGGAGGTTCAGAGATCTCTCGGGATGCATCAAAAATATCTTAATTTGTGTTCCAAAGATGAACGAAGGTCTTACAGGTTTGGAACAACATGAGGGTGAGTAATTAATGACAGAATTTTCATTTTTGGGTGGACTATCCCTTTAAGCTAAAAAGATGCCATTACAACAATATCCTTTTTAATTGTTTCAATGCAATTCAATTCAAATACCATTGTATTTTTAATTCACACAAACACTAAACACCATCATGGTAACACATGATACTGTAATAATGCAATAATTGTTAATTTAACAACATTAGATGTAAGATAAAACCCTAATGTACACAACTGATGAGAAAAAAAATAAATAAAAAACATCAAAGAACGAAAAAACATCAGATGTGAAGTGTCATGCAGAGAATTCTGGGAATGGCAATTTACGTTTTTTTCACTGTAAATTATACGACTTGTTCTTTTTCACTTCTAAAAACCATAATTTTAACATGTTTTACTGTAAAGTTACATCAAATGTAATTACAGTTATTCACTGTATATAGTACGAAAACTTATTGTTAACCAATTAATAGGTTTTTACTATAGCATTTTACAGTTTTTACTATTAAAATCACAATCATTTTTTACAGTGTGTGAGTTTGCTCTTACTGTATATACCAAGATTCTGCTTCTCTCTATTTCCCAAGTGGTAAAGGTGACATGCATAATAACTGTCTCAGTTCATTTAATGCAAACCCTACCGTCTACTAAACTGTACGCACTTTTACCTTTAACATTTACATTTCATTAGATTGGAACATTTAAATTTATATTTAATATTTATAATCAAAACCTTCAAAATATTTACTCAACCCCAAATGTATTAAAAAGCATGACATTTGGAAATGGCACAATCTCTCCTAAAGCGCGATCAGGCTAATTATGTTGCAACTCCAGCTGAATTATGGATCTGCTGTTTTTAGCCGGTTACACTCTCCAGAAGTGGGAACCTACAGCGGAGAAGCTTTACCTATTTCTAACAGCAGCAGATTCAGAGAAAATACTCCAAAGAGCTGTAAATCCAGGGCAGCAGAACAGAAGTTACAAGCTCAGCCAACAGAGCTTATAAATAGCAGCTGCTATCTGACTCAGACATGTAATTCTGCTGTGGTTTGACAGTGGAGAAGACCCCGAATTTACGGCACATTGCTTATGAAGCACCAGGATATTGGGAAATGTTCTGCACCTCTGTGGCTGTTACGCTATGAGTTTTAATGAGGGATGGAGATCTATTTTAGCGTGGGGAATTATCATAACTTTATTCTTGCCCACTCACTCACTGCTGCAGTGGGGTCAAGTAAAGCTGTCCTATATTTATTCGCACTCTTCTACAAAATGCTGCTGACATCAGCAACCATCTTCCTATTTCTAGATGTCCCAATAGGTGGTTTTAGGAAAGCAAAGCAGTTATGTATGGCATTTATACTCCAGTACTCCACTGTGGGTGGCATTTCTATTTCAAACCAATGTGATTTACTTTCTTCTGTTGAACACAAAAGGAAATACCTTGAAAAACTGTTACTCTTTTTAACACAGTTATAAAAAGGATGCAGAAGCACCATAAAATGATCTTACAACTATCATAATAGCAATCCAAATGACTTGTGTGCTATGTTCTGATGATATACAATAGCTTTGGCTGGTTTACATTGTTATTTACTGATGATATTCAATATTCTCCTCCAATGAGCTGTTTACCAAATGACTTGATCATTGAGTTGAACTTGAGAACCTGATTAGTCTGATTCATCTTTCAGAGCAACTTTGAAATGCATCAACTGATTCACTGAAACGATGAAGAATGAATCTTTCATGAATGGACAAACTACTTTTTTTTCGCATGTCTGCCAATTTGCATCTGTTCTTTGCACAAAGCTACTGAATGACTTGGACATATGAATCACATTTGTGATACTTTATGGCGTTTGTCTGATTATTATTTTTTAATGTTACATTTCGGAAGCTGACAGCCCCAGTCACTGTCATTATATTACAAGAAGTGCATATGATATTCTTAAAAAAAACAAAAACAAAAAACACTTTGTGTTCCACTAAAGAAAGTCACAATGAGGGAGACACGAGGGAGAATAAACCCTGACAGAAATTACATTCTATAGGTAAACATCCTTAATCTTGATTAAAAAATTTATTTATTTTTTTATCCTTGCAGAAGTCTAAAGTTAAAGGAATTTCTCACAGGATAAGAATTATTACTTCCACAAATCAAGAACAAAACCACCAATCACTTCTATCTAGGGTTTCTTAATCATTTGTAATGTGGGGTTTGGTGTTTGGGTGTTCATGTTCATGTTTTCCGTGTCTTTTATTTTGGAGTTTAGTCATGGTCCCTGTTTGTGTCATGCTTCCCTTGCCCTCTTGTCTTCATGCTATTGGTTCCTCTGTTCATTGTGTC